TTGCCCTACTAGTAAGAGAAGCAGACAAGCTGACTTTTGGCCAGAACCTGAGGGTGACAGCCCCACATACTATGGAGGGGATTCTCCGGCACCCTCCAGGAAAGTGGATGGCGAATGCTAGACTAACCCATTACCATTCTCCATGAATCACCTTCTCTGACCCAGTGACCCTGAACCCTGCCACCCTCCTGCCGGACCCAGACCTGTTGGCCCCCTTCCATAATTGTAGAGAGATTCTCTCCGAGATCATCCAGGTACAGGCGGACCTAAGAGACACTCTGCTGCCCAACTGTGGACTAAATTGGTACACAGATGGGAGCAGCCTTGTACAGGGGGGGGTCAGGAGAGCTGGAGCGGCAGTGGTGACCCACACAGGGGAAGTTATCTGGAGTGCAGCTCTGCCCCCTGGAACCTCAGCCGAGAAGGCAGAACTTATTGCTCTCGCTGAGGCTTTAGAGAGAGCAGAAGGCAGATGGGCCAACATCTACAGAGATAGCAGGTATGCCTTTGGCACTGTCCATGTCCACGGTGCCATCTACTTGCTGATGCGGAAGCTAGGAGGGCAGCCCTCTCAGGCTCCATTATACTTGCAGCTCTCGAGGTGCCCATCCCTGAACTGCCAGCCCTGCCTCCCAACCCTAACTATTCCCCTCAGGACCTTGAATGGATTAGAAAGCGAGTCCCGGGGAAGGAGCTTAAGGAGGGAGGTTGGAATAGAGACCAGGGAGATAGATTAATCCTACCAGAAGCACTAGGGCCGTACTTGCTGCACAAGTCCACCCATTTAAGCTGGAAAAAGTTTCTCAGCCTTTTTCAGTCTGCGCAGTTGGTGTTTCCTCACCAGAGCAAGGCAGCATGCCAAATCACAAGGGAATGCAATAGCTGTGCCATGCTAAGACCAGCCTCCAAGGGGGTGCACCCAGCAGGTACGCGGGAGAGAGGGAGGGCTCCAGGGAGGAATTCGGAAATAGACTTCACCGAAGTAAAACCAGGAAAGTATGGGTACAAGTATTATGATAGACACCTTTTCAAGGTGGGTAGAGGCTTTTCCAACCAAGCACGAGACCAGCCAGGTAGTAGCAAAAAGAATAATAGAAGAGATAGTCCCAGATATGGGATCCCTGAGGTCATAGGTTCTGATAACGGCCCGGCTTTCATTAGTAAAGTCCTGCAAGGACTGGCCCGAGCTCTGGGGACGGAGTGGAAATTGCATTGTACATACAACCCACAAAGCTCTGGGCAGGTAGAGAGAATGAATTGGACCTTGAAGGAAACCCTCACTAAATTGGTAATGGAGACTGGCGGCAACTGGGTGATCCTCCTACACTTAGCTGTCTTCCGTGCTCGGAACTCCCCCTATGTGCACGGATTAACTCCATTTGAGATAATGTATGGGGCCCCTCCACCCATAACTCGGTGAGTACAGCTCCCCAGTGTGGAGGACCTGACCCCCAACTATTTGAGTGTGTTGCAAGCTCTTGCCAAGATACAGCAAGAAATTTGGCCCCTGATCAGAGCATATCACGAAGGTGAGAGAATTCCGAGCACGGAACATGGCATAGTCCCAGGGGACATAGTCTGGGTCAAAAGACACAAGGTGAAGACTCTTGAACCCAGATGGAAGGGACCTTATGTTGTGCTATTTACCACCCCCACTGCCCTTAAGGTTGACAGCATCGCTCCCTGGGTCCATCACACCCACGTTCAGAAGGCCTTGCCTCTCAAGGACCCAGAATCCTGTGTGAAGGAGGGGGAGGAGCAGCAAAATCCCGCTAATCACTTAAAGCTATATCTGAGCCGAAAATTAAGGGATTCCT